TGGAATTAATCTCGCATCTTCAATTTCACAAAATTAATAGGTGAATAAATTAAATGCAAGGGATTCTGATCCATGACCAGGACTAAATAGTTCTTTCTTTCGGTGCTGTAAGAAATCGAAACAAAAGTCCAATAAAAAGACCAGCGTTCGCACACAACACCAGCACAATGTGTACTTTTATTTCAGCGCAACACTTGAAACAATTCTTAGAGTGAACGATGCAATTTCATTTCATCAGTAATATTAAGAGAGCTCGTAATTTAAACGAAACCGATACAATAAAACTCGTTTAGAAATATGAACGCTATTCGTTTACGGAATCTCATATCGTGGTTCACCCCATGCAGGCATCTTGCAGGAATACAATTTATTGGACAGTGCAAATCCCTGTTACCAATCACCGGAACAAATCATCATAGAGGCCAATCAATGTCGTCGGATAATGACGATTGTAACATTTGAAAAGCGCGATTGCCGTCACTAACGCTGATTGTTCAAATGATTGTTCAGGTGAAATGAGGGAATAACCAAGCAATAAAACTAATAATTATTAGTAATTAGGGCGAAATTTTTATCGGCGATTCAAATTACTATAGACAACAATTCACTAATTTCTCTTACACCGCGCGTCTGAATGACTCGAACTGTTTTACGCGCACGCAAAGTACAAGTAAACTGAACGGGGCATGTAAAAGGGATTACCGTACAGTCGAAACATCAAAACAGAACTGCAACATACGATAAAATATTCAAATCATGCATGACGCACTTTACCACTATTTTGAATGTGGATTAAATGAAGAATGATGACTTGATCCCTTGTGAATCAAGTCACGAAAAGTACAAGAGTCGGCAACAGGGCATGGGCCTATTTCTTCAGTGCCGACACTTCTATTCTATTATATTTTATATAAGGACTAAAATAGTATTAACCCATCGCTTTTCATTCGTTATTCATTCAATAAATAAACTTTGATTTTATTTTACTGCGCTGACCGCGGTGTAAAATTCTATGCTGAAAGTGAATATATCATAAAAACTGATGCATCACACTCCACAACACATGTTTTGTGGAAATGTTGGTCGCCAATGAGAGGGAAAGAGGGAAAGACGAGGGTAGAGAGCAGCGTCAGGGAGGATTAAGAAGGAAATAGGTAATATAAAATATAGAAATTGATATGTCAATATCATCATTGCATTAAGGAAGAATAATTCGAAGTTAAACGAAAATCAAGAAATTACCTTATATTATTGTGAGATAGATGCATAGGGTTGCATTTTTGTTCACTATTTAAAGCAGTTATATAGCAATAATATCTTTCAGCAATTAGAATGGAGATCTCGCTTTACGTTATTGTTATGAAAATGCCATAGCTATCAGCATAAAACTAGTTTAGATCAGAGTAATTATGTACGAAACATGAATAGCTTCTTGACCGCACCACCATTTTCCCTGAAGAGATTAAGCAAATATTAGGGTCTCACCTCTAATTCCGATGTCATTTTCTTTCTATTGTAGAGAGAATCTTTCTTAGGCATATAGCTGGGCAGAGCGGTAACTAACTCAGATGCGACTTGTGCCAGACGTGCGATCTGCATGTCGTCTAAAATAGGAGTCGTGGACGATGAGTACCCAACGCAAGAATATGCACTGCCAGGGCCTTGTATTAAACTCGATTGTTTGCTGTAAGGAGACTCTGAACGAACGTAAACTTGCGGAGAGCTACTAGAGTTCACTAGGAGCTTGGTTTTGACTAGGTTGTGATTGATAGTTGTACTAGTAGAACTAGATGCACTGTAGGAAGTGGGGCTTGCAGTGGTGTACGCAACGTCAGAGGATGAATTACTTGCATCTATTGAAAAGCAATGGTTTTGTCTGTCGGAGTTTGTCTGTTCGACACTAATGTTGGTGAGCATAGCAAGGGCGCTGTGGTCATCTGTATTATTGGTAGACGTCGCACCACCGTTCATTGATGACTGAGAAGACGTACACGTCTGAAACAAACAAGATGGTACCAATAGGCCAAGCTTACCATGATAAACTTCCACAAGAATTCCATAAAATTTTTCATTAACCACTTTGCATGCCATCATTTCAACTCGAAAGATTAACTCGGTCAACATTAGGGAAAAATGCAACTGGGAAATCCCATCCAGAACATTCAATAAATATTTTATTTGCGACTGAAAATTCAATTTATGAATGGCAAATGATTTTTGTAGGGTTTTTAAATTCGAAGACTATTTTTAAATACTGATTGCAATTAGTTACGTGAAAAACCTATGGAATGTCTGGGACAATAGGAAGAAAATGACCATGTTTCTGCTAATGGCCAAAAAAGTATCAACAGGGGACTGAACTTTTGAAAAAAGGTTGAAAATATTTATTGGTATTCAATTTCGAATCATTATTTTGTCTTGATATAATTTGAGTGAATCTTTTTCATTGAAATGGCATTTACGTTTGATAAGCAGTTGGTTAGCTTGTTTTGTAGTTACGTTGCAATTCAAACACTATATTTGCACAAACAATGGCCACCATCTTGTCTGTTACAGTAATCGTACAAAAACACACAACACAATAAATAAATACATAAGCGTTACCACATATGAAAAGTTCGGAAACATCCGAAAATATGATGTTATAAATTAACTTAAATCATATTACACGAGTACATTTAGGAAATGTTAGGCATTGTGGTCGATTGGAAGTCATAAACTACCATAACACTTGCACATTAAATGCACAATAAAATGAAGAATCATTTGATTAACTTCAATAAAGCAACAAAATATTGCAAGAAGCCTGCAGAGTTTGAACACTGATAATAACTGATTACTGATATCTGACTAATTACATTTATAACAGAACGACCACTCAATAATAACGCAATAACTTCAAAGATGAGCGGAAAACCAGAGCATTATGTATAATGAGGCGAAAGAAATTGATGGAGATATTCCTTTTTCCGTAATTAGAAAATATTACTTCACATTTTATTGTGGTAAATAACAAGAAAATGGTAAATAACAAAAATGTGGTAAATAACAAGAAAATAACGAAATAATTTATTCTTCTTTGCCAAGAGATTGCAATGATTTTTTGTAACAAACGAAACTTGTTACCAAATAAAATGAATATAAAAAATAAAATGTTGATACGAGTAATTTTATTACGCTATTGTTACATACTCAGACAGACTAGTTAATGTGTACTAGTGTACATAAATGTATATCGCTTAAAAAAATCAATGGATTACGCAGACGATAATAGTCAACAGCGTGCGGTGAGTAAAGATGTGTTGAATTGAGTAAAGTGAGTAAAGATTTGTGTTGCATGGCGCAACAAACGGTTGCAGCACAGCTATATAGATGCTCGTCAAGGTTCTTAATGGCAAGTGAAGTAATTGCATCAACTTAATTCATTACTTCACCTTATCACTACTGCTTTGAGTATTTAATTATGCTTTGAGAAATTTTAGGACAAATATCGCCATCGTTACTTTTTAGCCGAGTGCAAAATTAAGTAGTTATGATCATGAAGTCTAACAAAGATCCACGCAGAAACGTGTGGTTTTCAAACTGCCACGTCTAAAACGTAAATTCTATCGGGGAAATAGTTTACAATTAAAAAAACAGAAGATATTAGTTCAAACTAAGTTAAAACCTACAATAATTTACAAGCACAATATGCCTACATGTTCTAAAATGCGAAAGCTACGATGCTCGGTTCGAGACGCTCAGCGTACGGAAGAATCAGATGCGGTTTAGTTCGGCCAAGATAACACTAAAAAAATTCAAGACAGGTTATGCATAATTAACCCAGAAAAAGTTCAAATCTGCATTACGAACCGCAAAAGTGAACTAGAATTTCCAAGAACCGAAACTCCAACGCAGTCTCCACTCAATCATATTTCTGACAGTAAAAATATCGGAGTTGGAGTTCAAATGGCTGAGATAATGAACCTATCACCATTCACCGCTGAATCGTTAGTATAATCAGCATATAGGCTTGCATCATAAACTTGACTCGATTAAACTTGATCGATCCCAACTCTGGCCGAAATGCTGAGGCTAATCATCAGAGCTTACGAGGACGACCAAAGTGGCAGAGATTATTTAAACCAATCCTTGGTTTAATCAATAATTCCTTGGTTTAATCAACAATTTCTTGGTTTAATCAACAATTTCTTGGTTTAATCAACAATTTCTTGGTTTAATCAACAATTCCTTGTTTTAATCAACAATTCCTTGGTTTAGTCAACCTTGACCAATGAAATATTTGACAAATTGTATAAAATTCCGAATGGAATCAAAGCGGTGAAACCACGCACCAAAAAAGCTGTAAACCAGCATCAAAGGGTGGAAAAGATAACCAAAAATGCAGTAATAAAAGAAAGAAGAATAACAATTCATGCAAGGAAGGGACGAAGAATGCATGGAGATGGTGAGACAATACCAATCTGTGATCCATCAACTGACAATTCTAATGCAAAATGAAATGATTTCACCCTGAAAAGTCAGAATTCGACGCGAATATTCCAATACCAACTTGATACGTAAGGGCAGTAATTGCACTTTCTAATTTTTTTTTAAATATTTTACACGTCATGGAAGATGAAAAATGAGACTATAACCAGTGTTCATATAACCATCGTGTTCATGTTAAGGGTTTCTCATGTGGGTTTATCGTAATGGTTCATCTTTAGGGGTTTATCGCGAGGGTTCATCATGAGCACCATCATTAATTTTGTATCACTTGCATTTGTTACCAACTTGTGATGAAACTTCGCACTAACTGAAAACTCCCACACAAGCATTATCAAAGTATATTTGATTATATCGCATTTAGATTTACGGGAAGAATTTCAATACAATTTTGTCAAAGCCTACCATAAAACTGTGCTCTGATTTGGAAGTCTTGCAAGTCTCATTTGAGTAGGAAATATAGGAAGGTGTCGCTAAATGAACATATATAGGTACCGCCCCCCGCCACCTACCTTAAGCAAGTGTGGCAACATTTCGGGGGGCGAGCGGTCCAAGGGGGGCAACCCCTGTGGGGGAGGCAGATTATCGTCAATAAATTGAAGTTAATACTTCCTCACTTTAGTTCGATTATCATATTCACGTTAATTAGGACAAATTTCCCTCCGAAATCAGGGGTAAATAAAATTTGTATTAATCTCAAGCGGATTAAAAAGCGAATTTTAAAATAAATTAAATGCTACATTTTGATTTCATTGTAAGTGAATTCTTGTATATATTGAATATTTTATCGTGAAATAGATGAGAAATTTTAACCAAATAATAGGTCATAAAATGTTTGCTAAACTGCAAGCCATTGAAACCTTTAAACGAGTCAAGCTTTCAAGTTGACGTTTTGGCTGTCATCTTGCGTGGTTACGATGAATTAATATCATTCATCAGAAGTTACGATGAATTAATATCATTCATCAGAAGTTACGATGAATTGCCATCATTCATCAAGAGAGAGCTTCTTCAGGTCAATATAGGGAATTAAATGGCTTGTCTTTATAAAGCATGCCAGGAGCTGGCTTACTAAACTTGCACTCAACAAATGTGAGATATCATTGTTACGTGTAGAGGTGTATCATTCTATATCATCGAGGTGTGTCAATAGATTTGTATATACTGTATCATATATAGAGGTGTATCACTGTAATGTGTAGATGTATATCATCAGAGGTGAGCAGTAGCGTGCAACATGTAGCGGTAGCGGTAGCGGCGCTACATTCAAGGCAATGTAGCGGTAGCGGTAGCGCCCGCTACATATTTCAGTAGCGATACGAGGTTTTGCCGCTACAGCGCTACCGCTACATTTATAGATAAAGCCTTTAGATTTTACTTAATAGTATTATATATTATTTAAAAACCAGCATGATATATACATAATATAAATTACAGAGTAAAACTGTACGAAAGATTTCGGTGTAATGTTGTCAACCTCAGCCTGTCACTAGTGTCAACATGTTAGTTGTTACTTGTTAAGTTGTTACCAGTTACCACTTAAGTACAGGTATTTTTTCATGTTTCAGTTTGCTTGCAGTTATTTTTACACAGTTATTTTTATGTTTCACCTTCTCTACATGGATGTCTACTTTAATCTACCAATCTCAAAAATAATCCACATATATATATAAATAAAAGACTGATTTTTTATATGTATATGTGGATAATTTTTGAGATTGGTGGATTAAAGTAGACATCCATGTAGGGAAGGTAACAAATAAAAATAACTGCAACTTTTATTTACTGTATCTAACCCATACTAGTTCGGTTAGGTTAATTGCAATAAAGTTGCATTGATATGTTTTGAAAATGTTTTATTATCATTAAATGTTTATGAGTAAATCCCAAGAGCAGAACAATAAATATTTAGAGATTTCCAATAATTTTGGCCATTGTAGCGGCTAATGTAGCGGCGCTACATTTTACTGTAAAGGTAGCGGTAGCGCTCGCTACAATCTAGTGAGTGTAGCGGTAGCGCCCGCTACATTTAGAGCATGTAGCGGTAGCGGTAGCGGCCGCTACATTTCAATGTAGCGCTGCCCAGCTCTGTATATCATTCTATATCATCGAGGTTTATCAATAGAGGTGTATCACTGTATCGTGTAGAGTTGTATCACTGTATAGCTTGAAAAAAATCTGCTTCAGCCTAGCTTTTAAATCTTGTTCTCGCAAAAATCCTAAGTGGAAAACGTCCCCGATTTTCAGCAGCAATAAGTAAATAAATAATCATAACGTTATGATAAAAAACGAGTTTGAAACTCAAAATCTGGCTGAAAAATAAACACATATAAGTACGCATACGACGGAAACGCACGAATTGCAGGACCCTAACAGATTATTTAATCGATAATAGTTCATTAGTTCTTTCTAGTTTACGCTGAATATTCCACTTTGAATATTCGAAACCATTCGGTAGATTTAACAACAAATTATAAAATACATCATTTTAAGATAACTTTATTTGGCCATCACTTTACAATGAAAGCCAGAGCTAGTCACACAAACCGAGCTTTACCTAAATAATTTAATGAATTTAGCCACTATACCATCTCCGTAAGCGCCCCACTCGTGCTTTGTACAATTATTGTGTATATATGTGTTTTATATTCCTCATAAGGTATCGTCTTAACGAATGTTTCGCGTTCAGCACAAACCGTTGACCAGAAACACAACGCGTGTCAAATTATTCCATCCTAAGCCCGAAGGTGTCGATACATTTGGTCCCTATACATGATATTATGATTACATTAATTAGAACTACGAGCAGCGAGCGGTCATATGGCACTATATTAAAACGTGTCATGCTATAGATTAACAGTCGACAGTGCATGCTTCCTCTTTATTTTTTTTCAATTTTCGTAATCGCAAAATTAATTGAGACGGAACTATGAATACCGTCGAGGGGAAACCATAAATAAACGGTATAGTTATTTAGTGGAATTGGAGACCCATCCATATATAATCAAATATATATTCATGCTTAAATAACCAGAGCCTTCGAGCGCATTGGCAGCTAGAAGTCGCTAGACACGGGATTCCATCAGCACTTTTGTTATATTGAAGACTGAATTAAAGGAAAACAATTTAATCAATACAGACCCGTTAATCAACAACCAAAACCCGATGCAAAAACCACAACTCTTCCACATGCACGTCAATTCGTCAATAATTCAAAAGCAACACAAAAACTAGACTAAGTCGGCGCGAGACGGACGCACAGTTCCGATACGCAAGGCGGGAAAAAACACGCACACAAAAAGCTTCGTTTTTTTTATTGAATTTGAAATTCACGATGATTGTTACGGTCACGAACGCTCAGTGATAGTGTCACGTATAGTGAAGGTATAGCGCGGGCTAGAGATAGTGTAAGTCATGTTTGAATGTAATAAGTTAACAATATAAAAACAAGTATAGACGTTATAATTGAGATGTGATCTCATGCCATCAGCTGTTATCTGGTTTTCGACTCGGAAATATAAAAAATTACCATTGTTATTTATGATTGATTTTACAACGTCATTTTGAGTATTTGGTCACTACAAGTTATTCTAATGGACATTATATGATTAGATGATTTTATACGGTTATATGATTTCATATATGATATTATATGATTTTATTTGATTATATGATTTTATATGGTTTTATAATTTTTCTCACGAAAAAAAAAATCGTTAAAATTTTTGATCTTGCCAATTCAACAGGTACTTAAGTTCGTCCGCAAAATTCCTCCACGATAAGAAAAAACATCGAGAACACAAGGGGCTTAATGATGCGTTGATAACATAATCATGTTTATTTCGAGTTGTTAATTGTTGACAAGTATAATTAAGGCGTGCCGGTTAAGCCGAGATGATATGAAGTTCATGTCGAGTTGAAAGCACAATCGAAAGTTTATGGCAGTGTTTAGCATCATTGATGCCCGCGCATAAGAGCAGCCACGACACTGCATGACTTAAACTGCAAAGAAACTGTGAACAACCAGTGAATAAACTGTGAACCAACTGTGAACTAACTGCGAACAAACTGCGAACAACCTGTGAACAACATGTGAACAACATGTGAACAACATGTGAGCAACATGTGAACAAACTGCAAACCAATTGCGAACTAACTATAACGAAAAAACTGCAATCTAACTGTGGACAAACTGTAAACTGACTAAATAAACTGTAAACAAACTGCGAACAATCTCGACAGAAACTGTAAACAAACTGCGAACAATCTCGACAGAAACTGTGGATAAGAAACTGTGGATAACAGGCAAATAAACCACATAAGAACTGCTGAAGAGTTCTCATCAAGAAACTGTCGCGCCAACCGAGAATGAAGCTGCGCCTCAATACATAATATATTATATTACCACAATATATAACTGATGCAAAAAAACTGATAACTGATGAGAAATCAGTGGTGAGGTCTGCAGCACTTGAAGGCGACTGATATATGTTATCGTTGATAACATGCGCGTTATGCATGTAATTTTAACTTATATTATTTAATTAAGATATTATTTAACGAAGTCTCATAGTATTTTAACTACAACTTATATTTTTCTAACTTCGCCTTATATTATTGTAACTAAAATTCATATTATTGTAACTACACCTTCACGCAATTGCCCTCTTCACACTGAGGAAAATCAGGCGACAAATAAGAAATAAAATGTTTCACAACGGCCTGATCATGTCAAAAGTTTTGGTCCGCACCAACAATGCTATTCTTACCTGAATGGACTCGTCTCGGCAGTTATGATGTTATGGCGGCCACCAGATCAAGTCGCGCTCGTCATCTTAATGCTATTCCTACCTGGAACAGAGTAACTCTGGTGCTACTAATGTTATTGCTACGAGAGCGCATGCGGGGTACAGACCTGGTGGGCGGGGAGGGGCATGGAGCCCGCCGTGGGGGAGCTGCCCCGACCCCCCAAGAGGGGGCCGTACGAGTGAGGGGGTGGGGGGTCGCTCCTGCGAGGGGGGGTGAGTAATCAGTCACTAGCATTATAGTAAACATCATCATATACATCATTAATACATCATCATATTCATCATAAATACATCATTAATACATCGCTACAAACATCGTCAGGAAAATGTTTCCATATAAGATGCAACACATTACAATTTGATGCTCTTTTGTGTTGTTTATGTCGCAAATATGAATCTTTCTGCTAGGAAAACGTTATTAAAACAAACATTGATTATAGCGTTGTTGACACTTTGTTGACGGGAACGTTATTGACGGGAACGTTATTGACACAAACTAACCTGTTATTAGCGAGACCATCTTTGCTGTTGACATGTTGCTGTTGTTGTTGTTGTTGATGGTTGGCGGTGACAGGAGAGGGGGGGAGGGAGGGGTTAATGATAGTGACGATGATAGTGATCATACGAATTAAATACCATAGCATCACATTAATTCAGCACTATAATTTAAAAGCAAAGAAAAGTCCACAAGTCCACGTTTTCTATAAAGATATGAATTTTTGTGGACTTTTCTTTGCTTTTAAATTCTTAGCTAATTTGCGATTTAAGCAAACAAGTGATATAAATTCAGCACTATAGCATCATATTCATTACTAAAGGCAATAGCATCACAGTAATGTAGCATCATATTCATTAAACAAAATAGCATAACATTCATTAAACATCAATCATTCCAGCAATCACATTCACCATATCATGACATTCATCGCAGTCATCATACATCAAGCAATTACTTCACTAAACTTGTACTGAAGCAATGAACCATAAAGACACAACATAGATACGATGTTAAAGTTTTATTTTAGGATTAGACCATCCGTTCTAAATGAAAAGTCTGTTTTCGGCGTATAAATAGCAAATATGCTAATATACTTCTTTTTAGCGTATTTTCTCATTTATGAAAAAGGCGCTATATTGTGCTCGTCATGTCCGTCTGTCCGTCCGTGACTTCACGTTTTCGTCGACTAAAAAATGCGCTCTCTGTCACTCACTGCAGTGAGTACTGAGCTATATTTTTTTCTGAACATGATGACAATCATCTTGAGAATACATTCAATGTGAATGAGGAAGTTTCTCCAAGCCTGCACGTGCAGCTGTTCACTATACTAACACTTACTACTATCATAATATAATCAATATTTTCTTAGTAAAAATAAAATAATTTTTTAAAGAACGCATATCAAATCTGCTTTAATTCTATGCACGTCATCATCCATAACAAGATTTCATTTCGTATATTTATACGGAAACTTGGCCACGATGGAAAATATCTTCTTTACTTAACCAGCTTTATGAGAAGCGAGAAAAAATTACCAAAGAATATTTTTAAAAAAGTTTCTAGTTTTTTATGCTGGTACGCGACGGCTCGAGTGGAAGCGTACCTTTTTACTTAAAAAATTAATAAATAAAAAATCATTTTATGGCAAGACTCGTATTCAGCTAATTTAATACTCAGCTTTCATAAGATTCTCATCACAGTTTCAATAAATATTTTAAATGGAGAAGCTTTGATCTGTATTTTTATTGCAATATTTCTAGCGTATTTTCTAGGCACGGTATTTTTTGTTCCCTTTGACGCCGCAAAACAAACACAAAAAACTTTTATTAAATACGAATTTTTTACGCCTGTATCGGCAGCGGCGATGTAGTTTGTGTGCAAAGTTGAATAAAATTCTGAAGCGTAGAAAGAAATTCAAACATGAATTCTTTATTTGTAATATTGTTACATAAATGTACGTAGCTCGAATATGGCCACATCGCTAACTCATATATTAATATGTGTAATTGCACCATGCTTGCACTGCTGTTATATTAATAATGTAATACTATTATACTGTTCTAAATTATTATATATATTATTATGCTGTAAACTGGCGAATATTTAAACGTTTGAAATGCAAGCTGGATCAATTGTTCAATATTGTGCTCATATTTCATTATTACTACACTGATTTTCAAGCCATAAATCCTATTAAAATTGAAAGCCTTTATCTTCGGCGGTTCACCAGCGAAAAATTCGGTCAATGACTGGCCGTTCTTAAACCGTCTTAAATTGCAAAATTAAATATCATGATGAATGACGTTAATAATCATAATTTCATGTTAATTTCTTGGCAAAATAGACTTCAATTAATTTATTCTTAAACATTTTCGAACAATTTTTATACGAAATAAAGGCACGTAGACACCAACGCACGCAGGCTGAAAATCAATTAGCTGAAAAAATAATGCCGGACAATGCCATAAAATATCCAACTCATTAGACGCGTGATATTAGGCATATCAAGACACGCTCCATAATGCTTATAATTTCGTGAAACCAAACACAAAACCACGCAGAAGGTTGCAACAGAACAGTTGAAATAAAACATAACATTTCCCTGAATTGTTAACCTGGAGTCATGAATCCTGTAGGTCTCGAAAAAATTATCTTCGACAAAAAATAATAAATTATCTTACTGAATAATACAATAAAAACCTCAATAAACTGATAACCGAGCATATCTATAATAACTATACAAGAAGTAGATTCAGTGGAACAAAAACATTAGAAATTAAATGACGAAGAGATCGATAGCTGAAAATAATTTGGTGGCATAAAAAACGATGCCTCGTGTACGATGAAAACAGCGGAGCTAATAAATGCGATGCTTAAAAAAATTCAACCGAAATGAGCCACGGCATCTGCAGCACAAGAAAAACATCGCAGCGACGCTCCTTCATCACCACTGTGACTTTAAACATAATAAATTAATTAAATAAACTAGTCGCTTGCCCCCGTACACGACTAGATGTTGCCAGGACTTGATGTGGACCTGACTTCACGACTAGATGTTGCCACGACTAGATGTTGCCACGACTAGTGTTGACCTGACCTCACGACTAGATGTTGCCACGACTTGATGTAGATCTGACCTCACGACTAGATGTTGCCACGACTTGATGCAGACCTGACCTCACGACTAGATGTTGCCACGACTTGATGTAGATCTGCCTCACGACTAGATGTTGCCACGACTAATGTTGACAGTAAAACAACTTGTTGCCAAACTGTCGCCAGGCTTGCGTGACCTGTAATGGCCTGGCAACTTGTCGCCAAAACTTCATCCCGTAATTACCACCGAATGCTCGGGCGTCTCATTGTAAAAACTCGTGTAAAAAAAACTACACAATTTTCTTTATAAAGCCGTGCAGCATCAATACAGAAAAGGATTTTAAAAAATTTAATTGGTCTTAAAAGAGAAAGTTATGGAATCAACCGACGCCTGACTTGATCAGGCGTAAAAATACGGAGAAAAATGTTACTCTCACTCTGTTCAACTTTCACTCACTCTGTTACTCTCACTCGTATCAGTACTAATTCCTTGCTTTATGCTAGCGCAGTAGGTAAATAATTAAGTGTCTCACTATTTACACAATAAGACTCATACATTTTTCAGAGTGTAACGAACCAAATATGCGCCTCAATATGAAAGTTTTTGTGCGCATATGCAGGCAGGAAGTGGAGGGTGAGAGCGCAACGACCTATCGTATTTATTAACCCCATATTCCTCTTCTTTCCTGGTCTTCCCCAAGCTGTCGCCCGTCTCCCCACGCGCCCCTTAACGCCGCCTCAGCGGGGAAAATCTTCCCCAAAGAAGCGCTCGAAAAGAGGAAAAAGCATGCGCCCAATGAGCAAAAAATGCGTGATATATTTTACGGGGTAGCGAGGGGGAATGAGTGGGGGGAATGCGTGGGGAGATTTGGGGGAAGAGGATCAGCGCATCGCGACCAGCGAGGAAAGGGAATGCAGGGAAGTACTAAAATGAAAAATGAAAGGGTGAAAGAGGAAAGGGAAAATAGGGAAAGGGGAGAGACGAGAAGTGAAGGGGGAAAGATTATGCTGTGAAGGAACATTGAAAGTAGCGCCGTTTCAACGATAAATGAAACAATGGCGGAAATATTAGGGACTTTATTACATAATTTGGTTCGATGAAAAATTTAACAAAAAAGATCCGAAATATTTACTAATTAAAACGGAAGTCAAAAATTAGAAAATTTTTTTTTTTGCTGTATGAAATGCTCACACATCCACACACATGATCATGCTTTCCAATGATCACTTATACGCATATAAAGCGGAAGCCTGAATAAACATGAATAATAATTGGAAGAAATAGCGTTGCAAGCGCGCAGAATTGTCGGTCGTACCACATATCAACACTTTTAAATTTATGACGACATTGTTTCAGCTCTCAAGCGAGAGCTGTTCATGCCCTCAATTCAACACACCCACTTAACCCCACTCACACAACCCACTCACCCCACGCAACCCTCGCACCCCACGCAACCCTCTCACCCCACGCAACCCTCTCACCCCACGCAACCTCCTCACCCCACGCAGCCATCTACAACACGCAACCCTCTCACCCCACACAACATTCTCACCCCACGCAACCATCTACCCCACGCAACCCTCTCATCCCTCTCACCTCACGCAACCCTCTACCCCACGCAACCCTCTACCCCACGCAACCCTCTCACCCCACGCAACCCTCTCACCCCACGCAACCCACTCACCCCACTCGGAGCATCCGAAGCAAGACTCGCAATATTGGCGCAGCAAAATGCCAGAGTTTTACCCTATAAATCCTGAGTTATGTGAATTCTGGCGTAAAACTCGCCAAGTTACTCATACGAAGCGGCGCTTTTTGCCCCAGCCATCAAGTTCGGAGCGAAAAAAACAAAGAAAATTTCTTCGAACTGTAAAAAGCGCGCGTTTAAATTCTCCGAAAAAGTAAGACGCGGCGCACGTTTAAATTGTAGCGCCCAAAAAACGGCTGGTCTTTTGCGTGGTGATCGTCAAGTTGTTTCATCTCGCCGGCACCAATTTTAAGCGAGTTTTATTTAGTCCAGGTCGAATTTCAATTTTTGCGGAGCTTTTAAGAGAATTTCTCAATTTACGGTCAATTCCGGGACACTTTTTGAAGAGCGTTAGATTGAGCCGGCGAACAATCGATCCTGGGATCTTTATAGGGGCATTTTTGGTGACCAAATGTTGTCGTGCGAGCGGCACGACTTTTTGATCATATATACACACAGAAACACACAGACGGTCTACACGAGACGAATGTTATACACTGAAGATCTCAGGTACGCTCTAAAACTGCCTCACATTTTACACCGAGCTTTCAAGTCGCTAGTAAAAAAAACGCAAGATTGCAACTCACAAGCCGAGCAGGTGTGTCAATACCGCGCCATCATCTGCACCGCACCGCTTAATCTTCTGCACTTTCTTAAGAATTTTTTGTATATAATTTTCATGATCAAGAAGTATCTAACATTGATAAACGTTTCTAAAGTAGATGCCCTTCAACTGTCAAACGTCAAAGTAATTATAGCTTAGTCTTATTCCCGCAAATAACGCCGAAAAATTGTTATAATTAAGGAACATGCACTGTTACCTCCAGTTTGAATGTCACATAAACGCATTCGTGATGTACTAAAGTAAACACATTTGTGACTTGATTGCACACACGTATTTGGGGCATACCTACACATTAGGTATGTTAGTTTTCTCGATAATGTATTTTTACTTTTATCGTTTATAATCGGTACAGTTCTGTATTGAATTTTGCTACCAATGATAAGCATTAAATGCATTAAATCTCGTTGAATTTTGATTCAAATTTAGTTTTATATAGTTTATTTCAAAATTTATCTTCCGTCTTGTGGGTATTTTGCACGTTTAGTAGACCCGTACTCCCCCTACCCCCACCCTAAAGATCTAGAAACATTTCGTGTAAATTTCCGGGCATTTTGACCAGCCTTTCCCCTCCTAATCTGCGAAACTCATTCATCTCTCGTGATTTTTGTAGAACGTTTTACGGACGCACTTTCAAGGAACGTTGGTTTTTCTACGTTTTTTAAGGGGCCTGCTAGTTGGCGCGACGGTTTTTAAGGTCGGTGTTTTTTGGGTCGTCACTTCCAAAGACGAGCACAACATCATGTACAAGGATTAATTTAAATAAAAAACCGTTTTTGTATTTAGTTTGAATCTGTATTAAAGTTAATGATTTTTTTGTTTTGGATCAATTTACATGCACCGAATTCAGATGAAACGAGAATTCAAAAGTTGAGTTTTCACTATTTATCAATTATGAACTTGGGCATAAAGTACAAGTTTTGAAAATTGATTTAAGTTGAATTGAATTAACATAGAAAAGTTTCTACGTCGCGTTTTGCTGGTTAATAAATACAAATCTAAATCACTTTGTTGTGCATTCATGAATACCTCATTCATGCAGGGCAGGGTGGCCCAGTGTTTAAAGTTCAGAGTACCAAGATTGGCGCAGAGAGGCGCGGGTTCGATCCCAGCTCTGTGCGCCAGTTTCTGGTCAGAATTGGCAAGGAGGCCGGGCGGTTAAGCACAGCAGAATTGTAGCAGTGAGTTGCGAGTTCGAGACCGCAAAATGCTGTGAATGTTCTGCAATGTTAAGAATCGGCGACAGGCCTACGGCCTAATAAACGCTAAAACCGCTATATAATGTCCACCCAATGTGGCCTCGCCTCCCCTCCTAATCCCCAGTCTCCCCTCACTCACCACCCAGCTCAGTAGGGGTGAGTTTTGCAGATTCACCCTCACATTTGGGAGCCTCCCGACGAACATTTTTACTAACTCTTCCTCCCTTTGGACCATCCACCTCCACGCCTGGTGGCTCTCAACAATCCTAGTTAATATATACTAGCTAGTTCAATTTCAATTCATAGCAGAGCTGAACTCTTAGTGTAGCTCAAAATTTAACTTCAATTAACTTATAAGCACCACACATCAGACACTAGTTACGTGTGTTATGAATTGCATGCATACAAAACCAATGATAAATAATTAAGAAGAGAACACAAATATTCCAACAGCTCTATAATACCAATATGTTCAATATATTAATTATGCTTCCATTTAATGATGTTTATAGGAGATTGCGTTGGCGTATTGCGTATCCCAGAATGACAGCGCGTGCAATCGAATGCAACAATACACGTTACAGCGAGCGTCTGCACAACAAGGTATTGCGTATGCAGCGTGTAGCTGTGCGTATGCAGCGTGTAGCTGCATATTGTGCAGCGTATGCAGCGTGTAGCTGCGTATTGTGCAACGTGTAGCTCGCAGTGCATAGGCCGCTGCATTGCCGGAAAATCGATTGCAAGATGCAGCGTGGAGGCGGGGAGGGGTAGGGGGGTAAAGCCAAACAGGGGGAGGGGTAAGAAATCTGAGTAGAGAATTAGAGAGATAAGGCAAGGAGAGAGATAAACCAAGTGATAATTAGCTCTGTAACAAACAATCACGAATAACATCAAAACTTGCAGTAAACCCGACGAAAGTGATGACAAGTTTTGGAGGAAGAAACAACATCCCCTAAAATAATCAAGTCTAAATCTAAGTCATGACACTTCACACAATCAAGTTGTCAGCTATGCGGTGAGAATTTAGCGTTGTTATGGAAAGGCAGAAGTAATATATAATATATATAATTAGGAATATATTATGTATTACCAGGTACTAAGGATAGTAGTAATATTGAGTATATTCGAACTTAGTATCTATCCTATACCATTAATAAGGACCTTATATAATCATAATGAACTTGGTAATGAACTTGATAGACATATCCAAACGAGTTTTTAAGTTCATTAAATTCGATGAACTTAAAAATAACAATTATAAGTAGCGAGATATTTTTCTATCTTTAGTTTTTTGTGCTGTTAATAAATAAATTAATAAATAAGATTTCAGTATAATTACGAAGCGATGTGAGTGTACTTTTTTATAAAAAATCCTCATATTAAACATATTTATACGAAGGGTAAACAAAATAACCGTCCTACATCGTAGCAGTTCACGACACGATGAATTGATGATTTCCCATTATTTTCTCAATACAAGAAAATAAATGTCAACTCTCCCGGAATCGATATTCAATAAAACATTTATGCTAACAGCAGGTACAGAAAATAATAATATTAAAATAATAATAATGATAATAATAATTTAGCAGGTAAAACAGAAAATAATATTAATATGAAAATAATGATGATAATAATAATTAATTCAGCAGGTAAAACTAACAAATAAATACAATCAGGAACAATGGACGCATCAAAGAACAGGATGCAGGCCTTGAAAATGCAAATGAGCGCAGCGCAAAAATGATCACAACGATCGATATGCAGCGGAGGGCTCACGCATACGAGCATCCCAACTGCATTGTCGGCCACCCCATCCTGAGTTGGGGCTAGAAAATCCTAGGCGCGGGGCTCAAAAAATATGAGGCACGGGGCTCAACAATATCAGGGGAAGGGGGTGAAAAAAACTAGGCGTGGGGCTCAAAAGCTCCTTTATATAGGCCCAGAAACGCCTTTATAAACATTATTTCAGGAGCAAGGGAAAATTTAACTGAGAAAAAATCGCGGGATAGAACTTGATTCAAATGCTAAAAATGAAAGCAAATTTGAAAAAAAGAATAGGTTCATAAGAACTGCTCTAAGAATTTTGAAAATGCAATTATTAGTCTGAAACGGCGAATTCAAAGCGCACAAATTATTAATTACGAGTCAAAGGTAAATATTAGCATTGGATGTAATGCATGTGGATGCAGGCGAAGCGAATCATTAGGGAGAGTTTGATGGGCGGCAGTTGGCTTACAGGCGAGGATCAATAACTGCATTGCAGCAGCAAAGGCTGCAGCATTTGCTTAGCGGGCATTTTTCTAACTAGGCGCATTTTTGGGCAGAACTTGGCGAGGGGCGCGAGGGGAGACTGCATTGTACGAGGGTAAAAACCGCGGCCGAGGGAGCCTCCCGACAGCCTAGAGCTCGACACTCGCGAGGGCAAGCGTGTGTAGGGTGCGTGTAGGGTACGTGTAGTGTGCGTGTATGGTGCGTGTAGGGTGCGTGTAGGGTGCGTGTAGGGTGCTGATAAGGTGCGTGTAGGGTGCTGATAAGGTGCGTGTAGGGTGCTGATGAGGTGCGTGTAGGGTGCGTGTAGGGTACTGATAAGGTGCGTGTAGGGTGCTGATAAGGTGCGTGTAGGGTGCTGATAAGGTGTGTGTAGGGTGCGTGTAGGGTGCTGATAAGGTGCGTGTAGAATGTAGGGTGCGTGTAGGGTGCTGATAAGGTGCGTGTAGGGTGCTGATAAGGTGCGTGTAGGGTGCTGATAAGGTGCGTGTAGGGTGCTGATAAGATGCGTGTAGGGTGCTGATAAGGTGCGTGTAGGATGCTGATAAGGCGCGTGTAGGGTGCTGATAAGATGCGTGTAGGGTGCTGATAAGGTGCGTGTAGGATGCTAATAAGGTGCGTGTAGGGTGCTGATAAGGTGCGTGTAGGGTGCTGATAAGGTGCGTGTAGGGTGCTGATAAAGTGCGAGTAGGGTGCTGATAAGGTGCGTGTAGGGTGCTGCTAAGGTGCGTGTAGGGTGCGTGTTTGGTACGTGTAGGGTGTGCGCAAAAGGCGAGTAAGGTTGGGTGATGCCGGGACAGTCACCCGATGATGTGTAGAGCGTATATGATCTGTACGGTAATGTGTAGTATTGGCTCATCCAATACTGCGAGCGAAATAAATACTCTACAACGCAATGATTTGCAGAGCAAGAACTGAATGTCAGTTCACCTAACAAGTCAGCAATATTCACGCAAAAAACTAAGTAGCAGTTGTCAATTTTACGCGATGTGGCAAGTGCCCGTTCTAGCAATTAACGTGTGATGCGATGTGATTACGAATAAGATTACGCTAAAGAATGCAACTAATAAGTTAAAAAGTAAACACGAATTGGCCACCACCTAAATTGCTCCAATTACAGTAATGATGCACGGCTGAAGTCTTCTCAGTAGGAAGCAAGTTAGTGTTATAGGAATAGAATCTATTTCCTATTGAGACAAAAACTAAATAAATTGGATACAAAAAAGCAGGTCTAAAAACAAATCAAACCGACGGCAGTGAACGGAAGGCAAAAAGCAAGATTGGTCTTATTATTGCGCGGTAAAACACGCACAACCGTAAAACTGATATTGCCGTGCAAATGTCAACATTGGGACCTGATTTAAAAAGCTGCTAGATACTTGATCACGCCTTTAGGCCTATGCCAGCACCCAATCGCAAGTAAACTGATATTAACAGAGACCACGAATACGACGTTGTTTTTAAACCAACAGTGTTGGAGGACAGTACTAATTACAACTAATCATCGAAAATCTTTTTTTGGATAAACAATTATTATATTTAGATTAAAATATTTCCGGATGAATGGTTATGAACATTTGCAGGTTTGTTCATATTGTTAGCTGGAGTGAGCTGTAGAGAACGAAATGCAATTGTATATACATTACCGCTTCATGAAATCTAAGTGTGAAAACTCTGTGTATTTTTTGCAGAACCTCCATGCAAATAAATGTACAAGTAAATTAATTGAGAGTGTGATGGATTCTTAATCCCCTAGCTATAAATGACAATGATTTCAGAATATATGATTTCAATAATAATAATTATTATTATGATAATTGATTTAAAAAAAAATCTGACAAATACGAGTACTATAAGTGTATCACAAATCGGTAGTAGTCTTTATTCATAAATCTGTTAAGTTTTTCGATCGTAATAGACACTAATTCTCACTCACGTTCAATGAACCTAAAAACTTATAAGCGGTTTGACCTCCATCCGTTAATTCAAAACAAATGCACCACCCGACATTATGAACATAAAACGAGTTTAAAATTTCGCCTGGCAAATTACTTGATAACATGAATACTTTGGCCAAATTTGAATTTAACCTAATTAATTCATGACAATAATTAATTTCAATTACACTTCGTCTCAGCAATTCCTCATTTCAAGTTAAGGAAAACAAGAAGTAACTACCGGTATATGTAATGGATATGTGCACATCTCCATACATACACATCCATCTAACATGGCCACGAAATCTCCCACACACAGCATATCGCACGAAAGCAAACTACGTAAGTCTAGCGTTTCAGTAATTCAGGATTGTGTGAATTTTTCCATCTATTTTCCCTATGAACACGTTATAAGTCTTCATGAAAAAATATTTTAACCTCGAGATATTCTACCCTTTCTTTCAGTTACGATCATTTTTCCCTCCCATTAACACCTCTCTCTCACAATCCACATACGACATCGCCGTTAGCAAAAAACCCTGCTGATAAATCCACGGTTTTTCATAACTCGACAGCATCATCAATTGTCGCATTTTTCTTAATTACGATAATACTGTGGTAAATTTTGCAGAACTGCGCTAATTTTTCCACAGCTGTGGTAATTTTTGCGACGTTACACGCGGAATTTTGTACGCGATAAGGCATTTTTTTTTCCTGGAGCTCTGGGGTAATTCTTACTATAGTCTCCCCTCATCACATGAGCCTCTATCGCGCGATCATTTTTTTACGAGTTTGAAAGAATGCGGCCTTTGAATTGAAAAAGCCTCGATACTAATATAATTAGGTTTATTTTTTTCCACGTCATCGCAAAGATTCATCTCCTCATCACCTTTGTTGAACTTGATTAAATGGATGCGTTATGAATTTATACCTGTAAAACTAGAATACATTTTTAGTGTGTATAGTTCAGTTAATTCGGTTTTTATGGAGAGCGAAAGGAGCCTTCGATCAAGCTTCTACTAATTCACATATTAGTTTAACATTTCCAGTTATTAATGCCTTATGACATTTTTCATAGAAACATGTAATATTTTCAACATTTTCCTACTCAAACATTACTGAAGCTTGACAAAAGCATCAAGCATTAATAAGAGCCTAAGAAAATAGGTCATCATTTCCTTCATAACCTTGCACTGCGCGCATAAAATATGAAACTCGTTCCATTTCAGGACAAATTTTCACACTTTTCTTGAGTCTCTTACATTTCTACTACTTCCATTTTGATTTAAGCATACAAATCTTCTCAAATTAATCTATTTTTTAACATAGTTCCACATGATGTCGTCAAACATCTTCATGTGCAAAATCTACCAAGCAAAAAAATTATTTTTCTCAGAAATAGAAAAAGTACACAGAAAATTTTACAGAAACATTTTTTCTACGTTTATAATGTTAGCTCGGCGTAACATTGTAAAAAAGACACAAATGGTGTCCATAAATGTGGTGATGGGTTGTAGGAGTTCAGCGTACCAGAAGCGTATATAGCAAATTCAGCGATCACATTGCGCCGTTCATACACCAGCGGCACATACCGTACGCTATGTCACTGACACAGAATAAGCTAGAACATCGTTTTTCTATGGAGAAACACGAAGGTATTCAACCTATAATAAGCACTATTTAATAATTATAAAGAATCAGAAATATTTTCAAATGGCCAAATGATTTTCCTAGGAGTTAATATGGGAATTTAATAAAGTTGGCTGGTCAGTGGAAAATTCAGAAACAGAATTCTAAATTGACCCAAAAACTGCGTTTAAATTTAGACAATCTCAAATCACTGTCTTATCAAGGGGGACTTGTTACAACAATCGGCTGGGCGCCTAGGGGGAAAAACATCAAATAATTTGAAATTTCCCAAGGCAAGGAAAAAGAGACGAAGAATTAAAGGGAAATAAAATATTTTATTAGCAAAGCAAACAACAACGAACAAGCGGATAAATATTATGAACAAAACTGCTGAAGCCCCAAATAAAGACAAACAAAAACGACCCTCGAAAAATACGCTTACTATTAATATCAACCTTGGAAGATATAGAATGAATAAAATGGCATTAGTGAAATTACCTAAAATGCGAACAACGAGTTATTTAATACAATTAAATATATAAAATAAATTTAATGCATGTGATTTCCGAATGAGGAGACACAAATTTAACAGAAAACATTGAAAATAAGAATTACTTCTCGTTACCAAAAAAAAAAACTTAGCTACTCGCAGCGGTTGAAAACATTCAAATGACAATTACAAAACCTATAAAAAGTTGTTATCGTGATAGGAAACTATGGGTAGATGTTCGGTGGCCACTTGAATACCAATAATGGACTGTGTACATACAAATAAAAATCGGATGTTACAAGTTAAGGGTAACATAAAGTTTATGTGTGCAACAAGAATAAGTTTTATCAACAATCGCGTTGAAAAAATTAACTGTAAAATCAAAATAAGCAATTCAAGTTCATAGCGCGCTGTTCAAAACGTCCTCAGGCAAACCACTAACATCATAGGATTTCCAAGCATCATGCTTTACGCTATGTGTCGAAATGGAAATTATATCAAACTAATTAAGTTGTTAGAGGTAAAAAATAAAAAAAAAACTCATGCAACAAGCACTATAAGAACATTTGTAAGAATATCACCTCAATGCTCTGAACAATTGAGGAAGCAAATGCGACAAGTGCGCAGCAATAAAGCTTTCATGCGATGCTTGCAGCCATGCAAGAGATTCACATCCAATACTCGATATACTGCAAAAGTTTATAGTATCTCAGGTGAATAATGTACAGAACCAAAGTATAATACCGTAAATGCTGAATAGAAAGAAGGATAAAGGGGAAGAAGGCAGATAAATAGCGAAGAAATATGCATGCTTATGCGGAAAGCAGCAGCAGCAATGCAATAAATGTCCCTCTGCACCTCAATGGATGGCAATGAGCACCGAATATTAACTAACACTTTCAGATTCAGATTAAATATATGATTAAAATCGAAAGCTTTAATGATATATTTAATTTGAATTAATTCGGTATATTAATGGCGATAAACTTGTAGATTCGGACCTCAAACACGCTTTGCTCAGTGCAAATTGAAGGTTAATGTTATAGATGAATTAAGCGAGTGGGTGTTCGTTTAGGTTTTACACAGTTAATCGTATTATTATTCTTGTTATAAAAGGAAAGCTTTTTTGCCTGTTGATCCATACCGAATATTCATTATGATTGGCCAAGGATGTCATTAAACTCCCCCCATTAAATTATTTTAAATTGTATTTGAAATTTGATGGAATTTATTAGGAGTAAACCTCAGTATGCTTCGGAATTGACATCGATCTTGTTCTAGTAAGTGAAGCAAGTTATTAACTTTCGTTCATATCATTTAAACTGGCACAAATGTCAACAGGACTAGTGTATTAGCGTCAACTGTTAGTGCCTCAAGTATTTGTGTCATGTATTAGTCCTCAAGTATTTGGATCATGTATTAGTGCCTCAAGTATTTGTGTCATGTATTAGTGCCTCAAGTATTTGTGTCATGTATTAGTGCCTTAAGTATTTGTGTCATGTATTAGTGTCTCAAGTATTTTTGTCACGTATTAGTGCCTCAAGTATTTGTGTCATGTATTAGTGTCTCAAGTATTTGTGTCACGTATTAGTGCCTCAAGTATTTGTGTCATGTATTAGTGCCTCAAGTATTAATGTCTCAAGTATTAGGGCCTAAAGTATTATTGAAGCTTAGCCCCAAAACTTGATTTCGCTGCGACGCCGACAAACTGCTGTAGAAAAGAGCAAGTATAGATCGGTTGTACATCAGAGCGGAAGATTGATCTAACTCCACGTTGCCTAGGTCAGTAGATACGGGTTGATCTTTCTTCATTACATTGAGATCTTTCGCGTGATCTCTCGAGCAGAATGTGGAGGAAGTGAGATCCACTCTCTCACCTTCGACCGAGATCAGCTCGCTCGTATTGGTCATACGTACGTTGGAAAGTTTCGAGTAATTAAAGTCACAATCTGGTCGTACTTGACCGTAAATTTGGGCATGAGTGGGAGAAAGACTCGTGGAAATTGAGGGAAAAGAACGTGCAACTTCGCCATTTTTCACTCGATTCCGACTTTTTTCTAGCGTGTTTTCACATTTCTGCGAGATTTCAATTTTAGAGGAATCGCAAGAGCTTCGCAAATTGTAAGGCTTGACTATGCATTTGCTTATCGTGGCGGGATCGCTGACAGACTTGTTATCGAGGCTAGGATTGGGCGAATGTAATTCTCGGGATGTACGAGTAACATCGGGATGGCTGTCAGGTGAAACGCGCTCCGTTCTAGGATATTTGTTGCAACTCTCGCCTATCGACGATGCTCCATCCAAACGACGTTTATTATTTGATTGAAGCACATCACTGAAAGAATTACTTAGTTCATTTTTAAACTGAAGTGGATCACAGGAAAATAAGCTGCGGTTCACCGGATGACCAGGAGGGACAAGTCTTTCCTGTTTCAACGAAGTCCTATTTTTGTCCTCAACAGATTCGTCATCGGTTATTATATCAACAACATCGTCAACGATACAGACATCGACTTCGTCAGCACAATTATCTTTGACATTCAACATACTTGAAGGTTTAACATTATTCGAAATTTCAAAGTTTGCCATAACAACGCCGTCTGTTCCGCGATTTAGCCATACTCCGGATCTCCGTAAATTTTCAGCGGAGGATGCATGCACCGTGTTCGTATTTCCTACATTGTAATGGAAAACGTCGCTCACGGTATTACTACGAGCGTTACTTGTTGTAATATTCGCGTTATTACTTGCGTTACTCCCGCTGCTTATTGCGTCATGATGTGAATAACTAGATGCTATATCACCATACGAAAGACTGGCAGTAACGCCTGACTTACCATGATGAATTGCAGGAGATTTAATAGAATTCTTAGTGTTTACATGTTCTTGATGATGAAGAGATTGGGTTTGCAGCAGATATTGTTGTTCCGGCATGGCAGTTATATCGGCAACTGTGTTTCTTGGCAATGATAATAGAGACGCGTGTTGCTGATATTGGAATTGCTTTCGCTGTTTTAGAGGTTGTGCGTGTTGCTGCTGCTGTGGTTTTGCATTCAGAGCAACATAGTGACCGGTTAGGTTCTTTTCAAATCCTAAAGTTCTAATAACACATCTATCGTGTGAACCAGGCAGAGCTAAACCATCATAGACCGCATCAAATGGCTGTTCTCTCGAAACTAATTCCGTTTCGTATTTTCTTCTGTCATCGGCGAGCGTCGCACGACTTCGCTTTCTGTCATCACCACTCGCACCATTCACACCACCACTCACCAGACTCTCACCATTAACACCACCACTCACCACACTCGCATCATTCACACCACCGCTCACCAGACTCGGTAGCCTCTCGCATCCACCAACACCATTGTCATCTCGGCCACTCACTGCGTTTACACCACTATCAGCATAACGCCCAGCACCACTCATGTTGTTCGCGACGACACCACTCACACCACCACTACCACTCACACTACTGACACTCACATCACCATTACCACTCATACCACAATTACTACCACTACCACTCACACCACCACCGCCACCCACACTACTGACACTCACGTCACCACTCATACCACCATTACCACTCACACCACCATCACCACTCATGGCAATAAGTGGGGAGGCTTGACGCCACTCACGGGGATTGGAGACCCACTCCTGCAGCGCCTTCTGCAGGCGCCTCACATGGAGGGGCTTGGCCGCCATCCCCACGAGTGCCATGATCTCGAGGAACTCCTCCTCCCCAGCCTCGCACAGCTGCTGCACGTCATCCCCGCCTGCAGCCCCCCGGGGAGTGGTGTGAGGGGGATTTGGGGAGGACGGGGGATGGGGAGGTGGGTGGGAGCGAGGGTGAGGTGTGGGGAAAAGTGGGCGAGGGATGAGGTGTGGCGAAGAGTGGGCGAGGGATGGGTAGAGTGAAATATTGGATAAAATTAGAAGGGAGGCGACAAGTCAAGGGAAAAACAGCGTCAACGAGCAGCAAAAGTAGGATGAATATTGAAATAAATAGATTGTGTGAGAATTAAAAAAAATGGGGATGGAACGAAATAGTTGGAAGGGGAGTGGGATGGGGCAAACGAGGGGAAGGAAGGGGAGTCATTGCCAGGCGCGTTGCAGGAATTCGGTTTCGGCAAGCGTGGCGGAACGGAGGCACATGGAAAAGAGATATCAACACATCAGAAAAAATCATTAAATAATAAAACAACATTTCAATTCAAATGTTTCTTTATTTCAAGACTATTTTTTATTAAACAAGCGGAGGCTGATTTTTCATGAAGAATTTTATCTAAGGTCACGATGGTGATATAAAAAATTTCAAATTTAAAAGAGCTGTCAATATAAACATGTATATTATCCAGATACATTCAAGTGTACAACGAAGTTTCTAGCAACGTGCACATGCAACATCGAAATTAAGCTGTACAAAAATTTTAGCGCTATAAAAAACAAATAAATCTAAAAAATACCAAAAAGTATTATTGTCATGCAATAGGTACAGTATTGAATTGCTATATTAAAATTATTTCAACATCGTTCTTTGCATAATTTTCCCTCACTTTATTACTCATTGATCCTAATATAATAATCTCCTCCCGAGATCCTATACAACTATTCATAAAGCATACGAGATTAGATTGCCTTTGCTAAGAACTGAATTCGAGAACATTCCACTAAAATTTCATTTGTCGCACTCAACAAATATTGTATTAATGTCTCATTTTAAATTCGCATTATTAATATTTATGAATTGAAACGTTATTTCAGGGAGACTTTTGAAGCATATCGAAATTTATTACAGATTTGCGCCGCAAAATTAGTTCAGAGTTTCCAAAGCTTCAGGTCTCCACCAATCGTTATTTTTGTAGTAGGGCTTCAGAAATTTCAGTCTGAAATTGAGAATCTAGTTTCAGCGCGAAGTTTCATGAGTTTCACGATGGCGCGCGTGCCATAAAAAGCTCGGCCCGCGAGCCAAAAGAAACTCGGCTCTGTTGATATATTTTTGAAAAGTTTCCGCCATATTTCAGGGTTTTTTGCCTCGGTGTTTTTGGAGCGAGCGTTTTTACCTCGGCTGGGAATATATTTCAGTAGGTTTTATGTGGACACTTTTATTTGGTCCAGGCGGGGAGAATTGTGAGCAAAGTTATTATGGAGTTATAGCGGGGATAAGTCGTACCGTCGGCGCTAAAAACTGTGACCTGAGTGCCGCCCTCGCCGGCGGTGCAGTGAACGGTACGGTGCAGTGAACGGTACAGTGCAGTGAACGGTACGGTGCAGCGAACGGTACGGTGCAGTGAACGGTACGGTGCAGTGAACGGTACGGTGCAGTAAACGGTACGGTGCAGCGAACGGTACAGTGCAGCGAACGGTACGGTGCAGCGAACGGTACGGTGCAGTGAACGGTACGGCACATTGTTGCCGGCAAAATGTTCACAACGGTAATGTTGCCGGGAGATTCATCCGTTGCTAACATTTCTAAACCACGAAATACTATCTTATGACGTTCAACAACATGTTTCGCTACACGTATTATTAAAGCTTTCTTTAATCATTCATCCCAAGATTTCTAACGAGGTGATAGAATTTGCTCCACATTACTCAACAGAAATGAAATGACTTGCACATCTTACAAATAGAACGCCATTTTATGCGCAATGATCGTGACAGTTTTTTTTATGCGATTGCAATAAAAAAATCAGGAACACATCTGCATGTTTGCGCGAGGCAATTATTTTAAGTGAAGAGTCTTTCTAAAATCATTCCGATCCTTTTAGGGTTGGTTATTGCTACTCACAAAAAGCTTCGTTAAATTCCGATGGTCTATATACTTTATAGATGAAAATTAAAAACCTTTCCCTTACAACCCATTTCGAATATCAACTCACGGTTTAATATTCAGTGTTTAATAAAAAAATATTTAAATATTATAGCGTTCATTCTCAGATCTCAGAGCATAACAAAGCTCAATGCTATAAATGTTTTTTTTAACATTGTAATTTTTTGTAAGTAATTTTTGAAAAAATTTGAAATATTAATTTAAAAATATGTGAAGAAATTTGTACTTCTGTGCAATCTCTTACTTAAAGCTTGAAATTTCAAGTTGTATGCTTTAAAATGACGTAAAACGCGCAGGTTTAATAAAGGTTAAAAGTTCACAAAGGATAAAATTTCACAAACCTCTACAGCACTACCACCAACATCTACAACACTAGCACCAAAATCTACTCTACTGTCACTCCCAACATTTACAACACTAGCACACAAATCTACTCTACTGTCACTACCAACATCTACAACACTAGCAGCACAAACATAAATGTATAGACACATCTAAAAATCGTGCGCGAAATATCAGTGGCCAATCATTCACCAGATGATGGCATCATCTGATCTTCCGCCACAATTTTGCACAGGTCTATCAGCAACAACACTACCAATATGTAATGAAATAGTATTGTGGAGGTAATAGTGATCTTGCACGGTACCTTGACTGATAAACATGCAACAATACTACCAACAATATGTAATGAAATAGTATTGTGGAGGTAATAGTGACCTTGCACGGTACCTTGACTGATAAACATGCAACAACACTACCAACAATATGTAATGAAATAGTATTGTGGAGGTAATAGTGACCTTGCACGGTACCTTGACTGATAAACATGTCATAGTAGGTGAGCAAGTTAGCTCGCTGCAGGACGCGGTACAACTGCAGCTCGCTCTCGTTACTGGGCTGCGATGTGAGGGCAACTGCACATGAGGGGAAACGCGTTAATGGGTTAATAATGACAACAAATTAAGTTAAAGAGTATTAAATTACCTAATTAAAAAGTATTAAATTATCTAATTAAAAAGTATTAAATTATCTAATTAATAAATATTAAATTACCTAATTAAGGAGTACATGGTATTGCTCAATTAGAGAGCTCATTAAATCATTACATGACCCTTCCATGCGCACAGGAAAAGCGTCATGTGCGCTGAAGTATGCGATTATATATAGCGGATATATTCCAAAATAAGACTTGACATTATTGATAGCTTATTCATAGACGTTGTAATATAATGATGACATCTTAATTTGGCGTCAAGCACTAATCACCGATGAGCGTCTTAGTGCGGCGAGGGTTACATACAAAAATGAAGAATAGCATGATAGTTTTTTTAAATAAGATCAAAGCTGCTGCTGTCATATACATTATCCAAACTTTATTAGGACAAACCGTGATAACGAGTAACAATGGCGCAACGTAACGTAAAAGTAAAGGAAAGTAACGACTAACGATGACGTAACGTAGTACAAATAGCGTCTAAACACAGCGTCAGTACGACACTATAGCTTCGCAGGTCCAGAAATTTGACGTTACTTAACTTAGAGGAAATTTTGTAGAAGCTAGACGGAGGAAAATACCTAGAACAATTTAAGCAGCCTCAACATAACTGAATAAAGGCGAGTGACTATTCATAGTTAAGCGATAGATGAATAATTTGAACGCACGTTGGAGACATAAATGAACTCGCCTGAAAAGCATGAATTTCAAAATTAAATCGGGGAAAATCCTTTCATATTTTTTAGAAAAATTTTCGTTCGTGAGTTTAACGAATGAATCAATAAACAAAATAGCTCGTGGTAAAGATCTCTTCCGTGGAGAAATCAACAAAATACCAAGGGCATTGAACGTGAGGCGCATATAAAAAGAATTATAGTGCGATTCTGATTATAAAAATGCCCACGCATGTAAGTGTCTTGACCTCGGTCTACACTGAAGAAAATTACTGAAACCAAAAATAGACGTTCACGTACGGTATTTCGTAACAATGGAGAGAACGTTCACAGCGACATAGATGATATTATGTGCGTACAGCAAGATTTGCGTCCACGTACATCGTGTACATGTACGCGGCTCTGTTCATATCTGTTCATAAAGACCTAAAAACTTGCAATCGTAAAAAGGCAACAACGGAACAAAAATAGATGAAACATCAAGTCGTGGACCAGCCATGGAATCGAGTAAGCGATCGACCAACCTCGATCTAACTCGTGTCACGGAAAAAACCAAGGCAAAAAGCTCGTCTGCAAACTCAGGAACCATATTTACGATCAATTATTACCAGACTTCGTAGCAATAGCATTACATCGGCAGAATTTCAATTATAGTAAGGCAAGGATTGAGTCATGCAATTTTGATACGCGGCTGCGGAGCATAGCTCGGGTACGAATAATATGACATAGCCCCATGAACTATCGAATATAAGTCCATTACTGCGATGTCGACGGAGTTTCAAATACCACGATCTTCACTATTGAATAATCGCCACTTCAATAGGAATAGCATGAGCCCTTGCAGGCTTGGCAACACTAGAGGCACCAAGGCAACGATAGGCACTCACTTTGAGCGTCATTGCATTTTGGGCCATAAGAACTGCAGGAAAATGCGGCAATTTTTGCCTGACACTGTAAAAAGCGATCACAAAAACGTACAGTCGAGCACAAAAAGCAGGGCTACGGGAAAAATGGCCCCGGCGCAAACGATAGAGAAAGAAGCGAACTCCCTGAAAAACTCCAATTGAGGAAGAAAGGGGACGGAGGGAAAAGATGGGGAAGTCGAGCTCGGTTGGGGCAAAACAAGGGAAATTGGGTGGACTGAAGGGGGAGATAAGGGAGATGAAATTAGTGGGTGTTGGGGGAACGCGATAAACGAGGAATCTGGCGGTAGATTCAGCGTAAATGGAGAATAGCAAGTGAAATAACGAGCAACAAATCTGTGTAAAATAAATGCATGAGAAGCAAATAATGTAAAATTTCAAATCACCCCTCAAAATTGAGAGCAAATGCAACAGATTTGGATATTACTCATAACAGAGCATGGTTGTGTGATAATATGCTGAATTTACGTACCGCAGCAACGTACAGTTGCTGCAGAATTTACATTCCTGCAGTGATATTTTTACGCACTTGAATAAATAATTAGGATTTAAAATTAGGTTTCATCTCAACAAAGATTTATTCCCTTTAAAATCCCAAATAATTTCAAACAGTAGTTAGTTTAATAACACATCCAGAAGGTGAGTGAGAGGTCGTAAAAGATTGTTTATGTTGTTTTCTTGGTCGCGAGCTCAATTTCCAGGAATATGATGAAGGTGCCGGACGCACCCTACGCCATCAGCCTAAGGATGCAGGCTGACCGTTAACCCACGCAGAAAAAAATGATATGATTAATGTTGTTTTTCTTCCATATTTAATAATTGTCAAGCATTGTTATCATTACGATGAGCTGAACATTCATCCAAAATAATAAGAATAAAACTGTGGTATTTGGTATGGTAAACACTCATTTTTAAAAAGTCAGGAAAAAATATATTTAGAGAGTGCGCCTGAAAGTCTTATCTATGATATGTTAATAGCGACTACATTATTTAAAATAACGTTTACAACATTTCAATTTTTTACACTTGCATGCTCGATATTAATCACTCTTCCGTATCATCTTTTAAATATATGATGATACGTACGAAAAAAAATGCTGCTATCTATAGCGGTCACTGTAGACGTATTAATAGAACTTAGGCCAAGAACTGTAGCAAGACTGGGGGAAAAAACCGCGGTGCTCCGATCAACAGCGAGGCAAAAACTGGCGCGCAGGCGAAATGGAGACAACAGCGCATGATGGAGACAACAGCGCATGATGGAGACAACAGCGCGTGATGGAGACAACAGCGCGTGATGGAGACAACAGCGCGTGATGGAGACAACAGCACGCGATGTCAACATACGCGTCACGCATGATGAGACCTCCAAGAGGCCATCCCGAAATTAGATGCTTCATTCCCTTAAAATTTAAATAATGAATGTTATTAATTTGCGGCTCAACAAGAATTACGAACACCGATCAAAAATTCCCCAAATTGAACACACACGAAGAAAGGACAAATTATTAGATAGGTTTGCTTCCTCAGGCCAGGTGATCTGCGGCCGTACTATTAAACTTTCAAGACTACAATAAGGTGCGGCATAAGAACACGTAGCGGTCCAAATGTACATGCAGTGACCAAAGTACACCTATTTACCCACAGGTATACAGGTAGCAGCCTAAGTACATGTAGCGGCAGATAGCTGGGCTGTGATTGGTGGGTTTAGGCTGAAAAGTGATTGGGTGACTGAGTTACGACTTTGACAGCTGACTTAACAGTTTTTGATAGTACGGCTCAACTATAGGAAAAATACCAAAAAGGTAAGGTTTAGAAGCGAGGACATTTAGCTGCAGCGATACACAATAAAGATTAGCGATTCGCTACCATGCAGGTTTCGGTTGTTCAAAGATATTACAACAGGCGTACTGGTTGATCGTCATAACGATTATTAGTTCGTTTTTATTGCGATAAACGGCGCTAAGAATTAATCAAATCGCAAATAAATACATTCATATTCAGAGAGCATTTTGGCCAAAATGAAGTTTAATTGAACTCAATAGTTAGCAAAACAATGTATAAACTGTAATTAACCTAGCTTGCCGTCATTAGCGTCGCGTTATTTTTTCGTGACTCCTAAAGTTAAAATTGTGAAAATACACATTTCATGTACAACACACACCATGCAGGGATGAATGAGACTTTTTGCCTGTACAGTGAATTGCACGGGATAAAAAACTGGATAGATTAAACAGTGAGGATGAAAAACTGGATAAAGCAAAAACAAGCTACAGCAATAGTGACATATGGCGAGCGTGTCTATACTTCGAAGGCTTCCTAAAATATTCTGATTGGATAAAAATAACTCAGAGGCTTTATCCTAGGCCAGTAATTTGAAAGAACAACAGCAGGGCACAACAGGCTTATTTACCAGGTATTTTTCCAGAGCTGATTCAGTGTACGTCAAAAAGTCAACATGTTTGAGCAGACCACACACCGCATGTTTTGTGTTGGTGTTTTTTGTGTGTTAGCGATTCTCGTTGTGTATGGATGTGTTTGTGTGAGTTTGTTTGACCGCCACTGATCAGGTGCTGTGTATACATTGAATGATCATGGCACTCGTGAGTAGCGAGTCAACGAGAAGAGGGTAAACTAAATCATACACTCAACATGAGGAACATCAACAATGCAAACATCAAAAAACAAAACCATACCCATTATACCTGGGTCTGACAAGACAAATGACAAGACAATAATAATAATAGCTCATGTTAGGTGAAAAAGTCGAAAACAAGACGGAATTTTAGTCGTAAAACAAGACAGAATTTTTACATTACATTGAAATATGACGTAAAACTAACACGATAATGTGATTAATGGAATAAAAAGCGATGAGATGCGACTGATAATACGATAAGTTGCAAAAAAGACAAAATAAACAGTTTTAGCAATAACGCCCCGAAAAACTACAAAATGTTCAGAGACTAATAAGAAAGCGTGATAAAATGGAGAACACACAAAAAACAAGAGGGCAAAAGCCTGTAAACAGGAAACAAGAGCAAAGTCCGCAAAATAGCTAAAAGCATCAATAAGAGCACCCGAAAAAAACCTCGCCTGCAGCAACAAAGGTGGATAAAAACAAAGAAAATAGCGGCAGAAAAAAACCGTGGCGCAGCGCCTGAAATGTGGAACACTCGCGAAAAAACCTGGCACGGATGCGAGGTTTTTTCGCGAGGTTTTTGGCGGGGATTCTTTGTATAGAGCGCAGGGTGATCTGTTGGGGCTGGTGGATAGCTGCGGATAGTGGTGGATAATGGTGGATAGCTGGGGATAGTGGTGGA